AGCAATCTCCTCTCCTGACTGCTACTGAGCTGGAAGGGAAATTTCCCATTTGATTTAGGATATAAATGATATCCCTGAGAGAAAGAATAGTCACACATGTGGAAACCAGTCATCAGGGATTAAAAACAGAGGTATCTGGCAAGACTGTCAGATACTACAAGGAGCTTAAAATGAAGAACGATGAGCTTTCATACACTTGCCTTTCTCACATTATAAAAAGGAAGACTCTCTGAAGGGTTCTGAGTAATTGCCAAGCAGTTCTGCCATAAATGGCTGTCTGACCAGAATAAATCGTTTAACCTCTCTATTTCAGTTTCCTCACCTATGATATGTTAATATTATATATATATATAATATAATGTGTTAATAATTAAAATGTTTTAGAACACCTAATCAAACGTATTCCTCTTTGCCAGGACTGAGAACAGCCAAAGTTTATTCTGAGACAGCAAAGGTTTACAGGAGGCAAAGTTTACAAGAGACAGAATTTTTAGCTAAAGCTCCTAAACAAACACTGAAAACTTAGTTTTCAGCCCAAATGTGGAAGATCTTTCCTACAAAACACTTACGCGGCCCCTCCTTCCTCAGGCTGCGGCCAGGCCGCTGCTCTCACCTCTGTCCCAAGTACTCTGATGACTGCCACATGCTGCGCTCAAGTTCGCTGGCGGCGCTCCTCCACGAAGCTGCTGTGCCACCGGCGGGCGCAAGGCCAGAGCCAGGCTGCCAGGAGGAGCGAGGAAGGAGGGCCCTGAGTGCGAGGAAGCCCCCGCCTGGGCCCTACCAGTGGGAGCACCGCGGCCGCAGAGGCCACCGCTCCTCCTGCCTCGCCCCCTGTAGCTCCAAAAGTAAGACCAGTCCTCGGAGAGAGTGAGAGATTTGACACCGATTAGGTAAAAATGTAACCAGAATAATTCTGCTGAGTGGGAGAATGTAGCAAGACGGAGGAAGAGGGACAACCAGTCTGAGAAGAATTCTACCTCGACCTTTATTAAGGAGCCCAGAGTAGAAAGAAGTAGCTTATTTATCTTCCGAGTAAGAGGTACATATTATCAATTGTATTCCGTACCTGCTGAGTCAAGCGTGGACATTTAATGAGACCATTTGCCCCGAGTTAAAACCACCACCACCACCATTTCTGGTGGATAGCCCCCAGTTTCCCTTGGTTATCTGTAAAATGCTTTAAAATCTATACATAGAAGTAACTCTTAGAAATTGCATTTTTTTCAAATAAGGAAAAGTCAGATGATGCCCATAGATTTCCCTCTTCTACTAATTGTACGCTTACTTTATTTCTGTTTCCTATACACAAACGTTTTTCCTTAAAGGTTCCTTTCTTATTGCGCTTAAAGGTACATATTTTTTGCACCTCCTTTAAGGTTTATATTTCTTAAACTATCTAATCAAACAACTTACCACGAATACCCAGAAGAAAACACTGAATGAATCCCTTTAATCTCAATATATTCCATTTTTAAGAGACCACCAAGAAAGAAATCAGGTTATTTGGAGGTAAATCTTCTATTTTCACTGATATTCAGGATGTGAATGATGACTTACTGCTTACTAGATAACAATTCCCTTTCCTTCTGAGAAATCTATGCGGTAATCTCTTCTGGGAGCTTCTGGGTCCCAAGCCCCTAACTACTGTGAAATATTGAAATTACACTGGGAATTCCATGTGGGAGCCAGATTATAGCCAAAAATTGGAATAGAATCCCAAAGACAGAGCCTATTCATGAACTATAATCATTTAGCCTCAGGTTCAACAAAAGGGAGGTATGGAAAGGTTACCTATGGGCACCTGCCTCAGAGCATATCTGCATGGTTGGCCTCAAAGCTCTTTTGCACCACTCTTTAAAATACCTATGTTACAATCTGTTTGCCGTAAAGTCCTCTGACAGTAAAAAAAAAAAAAAAAAAAAAAAATACTAAATATACTCATGTAGTTTCCCCATGATAACCAGCTTCTAATTTAAAACATTGCTTTAGTTTTCTCAATCAACAAGTGTTAAACAATAGTCTTAAGGTGAAGCTACTTGGAAAACCAAAATCCAGATATTAAAGAAATAATTTTCATATACCAATTCTGAATCATTCTAAGCAAAACAATAGTTTTCTTTCTCAATTTACTTTTATATCATTTTATTATTTTGTCTCCAATAGTGTCACCATTTAAAAACCAAATTAAAGGACTTCCCTGGTGGCGCGGTGCTTCAGAATCCGCCTGCCAATGCAGCAGACACAGGTTCGAGCCCTGGTCCGGGAAGATCCCACATGCCACAGAGCAGCTAGGCCCGTGCGCCACAACCACTGAGCCTGTGCTCTACAGCCCACGGGCCGCAACTGCTGAGCCCGTGTGCCACAACTACTAAAGCCCACGCACCTAGAGCCTGCGCTCCACAACAAGAGAAGCCACCACGATGAGAAGCCAGCGCACCGCAATGAAGAGTAGTGCCCGCGCACCGCAGCCAAGAGTAGCCCCCGCTCGCCACAACTAGAGAAAGCCCGTGAGCAGCAATGAAGAACAAACACAGCCAAAAATAAATAAAATAAATAAATTAAAAAAAAAAACAAATTAAACATAACCATGGGACAGCCACTTCCTGTTTCTGTTTTGAGTTTCTTCTTCAAAACTCTTTCAAGGAGTACTTAATGAAACTGTATGGTACAGGGGTTGACATATGGCTTTGGAGTCAAGACAGATTTAGACTCAAATTTTAGTTCCACCGTTAACATGACTTCAGGTATCCTAAGTTCCACTTTCTTCCTCTTTTTAACAGGGAGAGTAATACCTGCCCTAAGTGTATCTGTAGCCAAAATGAGATAATATCCTAAAGCATACTGCACAGAGCCAGGCACACGGTAATTACTTGATAAACGGTAGCTATTATTTTATACATGCACACACACTGAAAAATCTGGAAAACAAATTAAAAACATCCTTAATTCTATCACCCTAGTAGCACAAACATGTACGTCCTTGTAATTTACATCCACATAAAAATTTATTTTTATATTATTATAATTGTAATGTGCAATTTTGTCTTTTTTTTTTCACATAATCACTTTTCCATGTTATCATGTAGGATTCATAATTACCTTTTATTTGTTGAGTGAGATTCCGTTAAGTAAATTACTATAATTTAACCACTAAATTCCTGCCAAATATTTGAGGGGTTTTGATATTAGAAATAATACTACAATAACATTTGCATGAATGCAGCTTCTTCATTCTGTGGGATTCTTTCCTTAGAAAGAATTCCCAGATCAGGCTTTCTAGAGTAGCCATGAACTCTTTCGTGGCTTAGATTAGTTTTGCCAAATGCCTTTGCACAAGTTTCTACAATTTGTAGTGCCTCCATCAGTGGGCAGAAACATCATCATGCCCTCTCAGACCTTCAGTATTAATACAGTATTCATACTTTGCATTTATTGATTACTTACCATGTACCAAGCATTGGTCTATCTCATCGTCCTCACAACAAATCTCTGAAGTAGTACTTCCTCTCTTGCAGATGAAGAAGTTAAGTTTCAGAAAGTTTAAAAGCCATGTCCAAGGTTACACAGCAACTAAGTAGTAGAGCTTGGACTCAAACTCAGATCCTGTCCTAAGGCCACAATGCTCTTAACCATTTGGTTATATTTCTGCTTTACTCTTTTTTCCCCCCAAATAATAACAGGTAGGAAAAGATACTTTCACTGATGTTTTAATATGCAGTTCTTTGATTACCAGCAAAGTTTACACTTTTACATATGTTTGTCTTAAAACTGTTATTTTCTTGTTGTGTTATTTGTTCATACTATTTAGCAACTTCTGTAAAGTGGTGGGAGCAATTTTGTTCCCTATGTATTTTTTACTGAGCAGGTGTGTCAGCACAACCTTCACACAAGAGGCCCAGGCCCCTTCTTTTTCTTTTTTATTTTTTTTGCGGTACGCGGGCCTCTCACTGTTGTGGCCTCTCCCGTTGCGGAGCACAGGCTTCCGGACGCGCAGGCTCAGCGGCCATGGCTCACGGGCCCAGCCACTCCGCGGCATGTGGGATCTTCCCGGACCGGGGCATGAACCCGTGTCCCCTGCATTGGCAGGCGGACTCTCAACCACTGCGCCACCAGGGAAGCCCCTGGCCCCTTCTTGATGGCTTCATTGAGCTCAGTTTATAAGAAAAGGTGCTCCTTCTCTTTCTCCTCCTTCCTGACGATTATGGGCTGAATACAAATATGTTCTAGCAAGTTACCACGTCCATATCTTTTCAACAATATTCACTCATACGACATGGCTCCTGGCTGGCTTGGAACACCCTACCATAAGCGAGAGTGAAGACCCAATGTCCCCTGAGGGGTGACAAACTCAAACAATTTTGTAACGGAACCGATTTACCAAGGTCCTTGAATCTAATCAATATCTCATTCTCCCCACATCCCCCTGATTCCCTTTCTGTCTTCAAATTTTTCTTTTGCTAACTAACATAAAGACTGAATGCATAGGTTTTTTGGTGAATTTGTGATCCAAATAACTTGGCCATCATTCGAAACTTATCTCCCATAATATATAGAAATATCATTAAGACGTCATATCTGGGACTTCCCTGGTGGCACAGTGGTTGGGAATCTGCCTGCCAATGCAGGGGACACGGGTTCAAGCCCTGGTCCGGGAAGATCCCACATGGCGCGGAGCAACTAAGCCTGTGCGCCACAACTACTGAGCCTGCGCTCTAGAGCCCTAGAGCCCACGAGCCACAACTACTGAGCCTGTGCTCTAGAGCCCATGCTCTGCAACAAGAGAAGCCACCGCGATGAGAAGCCCGAGCACCACAATGAAGAGTAGCTCCCTCTCTCCACAACTAGAGAAAGCCCACGCACCACACCAAAGACCCAATGCAGCCAAAAATTAAAAATTAAAAAAAAAAAAGACCTCTCATATCTATGGTTTACTAAGCAAAACCAGATTTATCTAATTAATCTAAACTTTAACAATCCTATTTTATAATAAGGCCCATTACCTGCATTATGTCTTGCAATATAGCCAAGTGCCCAGGCTGCAGCCTCTTTGACTCCAGGGTCAAAATCTTCCAAGCATATCACCAGCGTATCCAGTGCTCCACAATCCACTATCGCCTGAGCTAGTTGGGGAGAATGTTTACCAACTGCTCGTAACACAAAGGCAGCTGCTTTCTTGTAAAAACGCTACAAGGATAAATAGACAAAACTCAAAGTGAATTGAGCTAAAAGTTAAAATAGACCAAAACCAACATTAAAATGACATTGATTTATTAAAAAAAAAAGCTCAAAAAATAAATAAATAAAATAAAAAATAAAACTAAGAAAAAAAGCTCAACAGCTATTAAATATAAGAGATGAAAAACATCCTGCAATATCATTTTGATTTTTTGATGTTTCCCCCATTGCTTTTGTTCAGTAACTGAACTGAAAGGATTTAAGCCTTAAAATACATTTCAAATGTTTTACTCTGAAACATGCATTTGGAAATTGTATAAAATAAAATATAAACATTATATTTCCTACAAATTCATAAAATAATGAGATTTCATGTTTGTGCATTACAGTCAAAGGTATTTGTTTGCCCTATGGGAACTTTTAGATTGTTAGCGCATGCAACTGAACTGTCACCTAACAAATTCGTTTCCTTTACTTGCCCTCAGTCTCTAAGCATGACCTCAACTAACCTTTCTGGTGTCCCACGTTATCCTGAAATAACAACTATGTTCTGAGGCTCCCTTAGCAATCATCAGATAAACATAAAGGCAAAATATTCATGATACATTTTAAAACTCCTCCTGGCAAATAAACCAGCCTGACAGTGCGTTGTTATTTATCCCTTCTTAGAAATGTTTTTTTACAAAGATATAAATGACTTACCATTATGTGAATTTCAAGTAACACTTCATACTTATAATATGTTCTACGTGTAAATTTTATCAGATTAAGAAATAAAACTGAAACACAAGACTAACCTGTTTTTCTTCATAAAAAAAAAATTAGATAAAATTAGATAAAAAAAAAATTATAAAAAAAAAATTAGATAAAAAAAAAATTAGATGTAGAGGAAGTATTTGGCTATAACACTCCCTGTTTTATGGTTAGCATAATGACACAGTAACAGTCTCTTAACTCTATCTTTCATTAATAGAGCCCAATTAATGCCCTATTTTAGATTCTAAGTTTCTATTTCTTTACAGCGACTACAAAAAAAAGCGACTAGATGACTATAGCATCTGTTTTGAAAGCATTCTATTTATGCAGGCTAAAATATTAAGATTCAATAAAAAATTATGTAAGAGAAAATACATCAAGTATACTTTAAAATATTATATCTCCAAAATCAGTATATATTGACAAGATAAGAAATATGCTATGTTAGTAATGATGTTTTGACTTGATATATTTCTTTAGTTTCTTAAATGTCAACATATACAGGCATTAAGATATTTGTTATAAAGTCTAATTTTACATGTCAGTAACCAAAAATCTCCTACTTTATTATAAAAATTAGAATAGTTTTAGAGTAGCTTCCCATAGATTATTTTCTCATAATTGTGGAAAAATAACGGTGACACATTTCTTGTCATTACCTTAAGCTAATTTGACTTTTTATATTGCAGAATTTTCAAATTCACACTTTACTGGGCATCAATAGTCAATACTAACTACAGTGCCTAGAATATCACTCTCTGATCTCATTCCAAATCCCTAACTCTCTTCTCTCCCGGAATTCCTCACCAAAAGAATTACCCTTTTAAAAAAAAAAGAAAAAAAAAAGGAAGGAAAAGCAAAACCAGAGGACTTTGTACCTCATAAAGAAGATATTAAATCTCCTGGGAGAAATGGGCTAAAGGCCTGGTAGGGGAAGGAGACAGAAGCCTGTGAATGATGCTTCACATTCTCACTTTCTCCTCACCTCTGCCCTAGTACTTTTTGTCTCTTTACAGCTAATGGGTACTCATTCACACTTAGAAAACTTCTGTTGAGAACCTTCTATGTGAGACACCAAACACAGGCCCTGCCCTCAGAGAAGGAGGTGAGTCCAAGCATTTGATGATAGAAGGAATGCCTACAAGAAAAATAAAATTTCTGTAACTCCTCCTAGGGATAAGACAGTTATTAGCAAATTACTCTCCAATCTAAAAAAATAAGGCATATTTTTAAACAATTAGGATTTTTTTTTGGTAAATACACATAACATAAAATTTACTATTTTAATCACGTTAAAGTGTACAATTCAATGGCATTTAGCGCATCCACAATGTTGTGCAACCACACCTATCTAGTTCCAGAATATTTTCATCACTCCGACAAGAAACCTCCCACATGCTAAGCAGCCACTTCTCACTCCCTCCTCCCCCTCCCAGCCTCTGGTAACCATTCATCTGCTTCCATCTCGATGGATCTGCGTATCCTGGCTATTTCATATAAATGGAATCATACAATATGTAGCTTTGCCTGACTTCTTTCTGTTAGCACAAAGCTTTCAAGGTTCACCCGTGTTGTAGAATATATCATGATTTCATCCCTTGTTATGAACTGATAATATTCCATTGTATGGATACACAACATTTTGTTTATCTACTCATTCTTTTGGCTATCGTGGATAATGCTGCTATGAACATTTGTGCACAAGTTTTGTTTGAACACCTGTTTTCAATTCCTTCAGAAACATAACTAGGAGGAGAACTGCTGGGTCATATGGTGATTATGTTTAACTTGCTGAGGAAGTGCCAAACCGTTTTCCACAGCAGCTGCACGATTTTACAAAACTTCTCCACACCTTCACTAACACTTTTATTATTATTTTCCTTTTTTTCTTTCTCTTATTTTTTTATGGCCATCCTAGTAGGTAGAGTGCTATCTCATTATGTTTGGTGTGTTTTTTTTTAAGATTTGATTTTATTTATTTTTGGCTGCACTGGGTCTTCATCGCTGCGCGCGGGCTTCCTCTAGTTGTGGCGAGCAGGGCCTACTCTTTATTGCGGTGCACAGGCTTCTCATTGCAGTGGCTTCTCTTGCTGCAGAGCATGGTCTCTAGGCACACAGGGTCAGTAGTTGTGGCTCGCGGGCTCTAGAGCTCAGGCTCAGTAGTTGTGGCGCACAGGTTTAGTTGCTGCGCGGCATGTGGGATCTTCCCGGACCAGGGCTCAAACCCGTGTTCCCTGCATTGGCAGGCGGATTCTTAACCACTGCGCCACCAGGGAAGCCCCCCCGCCATTTTAAAAATTGTATTGTTTGTCCTTTGGTTACAACAAATAGGAATTTAATTTTAAAGACATGTCAAGAAAGATACATCCCTAGGTTATGATAAACTAGCAGGATGGAAAGAACAGTCCAAGACCCTATGTAGAGGAAGATCCTTAACTATTGTTAGAAACATAGAGGGAACCAGACAGGATGAAAAAAACAATGGAGGCGCTCTTATATGGCCCTTAGAAGGGCTGACATGCTTTCATACTTGGAAAAAAATGCTTTGGCAAACCTTCCATTACATGTATTCTCCTTCCTTTTGGATGCTTCTCTCCCCCTTGCTTCAAAGCTGTCTCTTACATTGTCCATTAACCAGATTTCACCATTGTATATAACTTATTTGCCCAGGGCTCCATACACCTTTCTAAGACTGATCCTATAACTTGAATAAACCCATGCTGAGAAATACTGCTTTATGCATAATTCCATTAAAAATTATAATATGTTTTCTCCTTATATTAACAGTAATGGAGAAAAGCTGCCTATCAGCCCCAAAGTAAAATACCTTAAAAGTATTATTACATGCAGTTCAAAGAATTGAAGGTTGTATTAACATCCTAATAATTCTATGCCTACAAACTTGCAACTGTACCCAAACTATCAATTTTTTTAAAAATCCAAAACAAACAAACAAAAAAACATATTACTTAGTTTTTAAAAATTCTTACATTCTGTTCTGCCAGTGAATAAACAAGCTGTGGAAGAATGTTGCCCTTCACTACTGCTTCTGCTAGGTCATCATTATAATTAGCCAGTCTCCCCAGAGCCAAAGCAGCAGTCTGTTGAATTGTTGGGACCACATCCAGAAGAAGAGGCCTCAGCAAAGACATTACACCTAAGTTATGAGAAAACAGAAATCAGCAAATTTTAAATTAAAAGGCAAGCATACCATTCAGCATATACACAGATAGGAAAATTCAGGGGAATATATCAGTAAAACAACAACAACAAAATCATGCACTAAAAACTAATGGGATATCAAGCAGCATCTAACTGGCTAAGGCACAGAATAATACAACCTGTAATTATCAAAGTAGCAGCTTAGCATGGAAATAAGAAAGGCTTTGGAGAACCAGAGTTTAAATCCCTGATTTGGCAAACACTAGCTGCGTGACGTCACGAACGCAGAGAGAGGTTGTAAAGCACAGAGTAGAATGCCTACCTAGCACATGGCAGGGAGGCAGGTGTTGGGGAGCTGGGTCCCTCCCACACAGCCTTTGCACATCCTATCTTTCAGGGCTCAGGTCAGTCCTTTCCTCTCAATCAAGTCTTCTGATGTTTTCTTCTCTGATTCCAACTGGACTTTACTTCAGGGCTAGGTGAGCTAGCAGGGCCATTTGGCTAGGGCCTCCCATTCATAAAGGGCTGCAAATTCAGATTTCTGACATAATCTCCAAATAAATAAATCACAATACTAGCTCTCATAGTATTCATTCTAGGCTTGAATACATAGTAGGCATACCATCATAACAACAATAATAAAAGTAGCTTATATTATAGGTTATTTTGTGCATGCATTGTTTTAAGAACTTATTTTCCATATTAATTCACTGAACTCTCATAACAAACCTAGGAAGTAAGCCCTATTATCACGTCTATTTTATAGATGTGGAAATGGAGGCTGAGAAAGGTTAGGGAAATCCTCACACAATGGTGGAGCAAGGTTAGCAATTCAGACATTCTTTTTTGATACTTACTAAATAAGTAATATGTATGGAAAATTGAGGAGGTGGGGAAACATGATTGCATTTGGGCCATTTTACTGGATACTTCCAACTCTGTATTAACTTTGCCTTACTATAAAATATGCAAAATAGTCAACTGTTATTTGTACTTTAATGACGGTGTTTTAGTCTAAGATTACAAAAAAGGTAATGACGAGAGTTCAAACTAGAACAAGTTTAGAAATTTGACTTGCTAAACTTAATTTACAGCAGGCTATTCAACTTGATGTTATTACATCTTTTCTTTAAAAACATACCCCAGTGACCTATAAAAGCAAATACATATTACCAATTCTTTTATAATGTTATATCCAGAAACATGTGAAATAGAAATAAAAGGAAAACATTCACAATAACATATAGGATTAGACCAAAGTAAGATAAATGGTACTACCAAATAACATAAGCAGAGAACAATGATGCTTATCACAGAAACATTTAATGATGAGACCTGTGGCTTTTCGCAGTTCCCAATTTCCTTTAGTGATCATTTTTACGTCTAAGTTGGTTTGGTTAGATCATTTTACAGAAGGCCACCGTTGCAAGTCTGCATCCCACTCAGGCTGGTTAACTTTGCAGGCACACAAAGTGTGCCTAGGCCCCTCCTCAGGCCTAGGCCACAGCTCATGTTAAACAAATCAGCATGTCCATGTGCATAAGTGTTGCTTATATTATTCTCTATACTTTTTTATAGAGATAATTTCTGTAATATCTCACAACAAAAAGTTTAATGCACAGAACAAGGTATTAGAATGACTACCAAACGTTAACATGGGTTCCTTCTAGAAAGTTGAATCTAAAACAATTTGTTGATCTCTTCTTTGTAGTTGCTTTATTACTCAATTTAAGTTTTTTAACAGTGGTAAAATATACATAACATAAAAATTACCATTTTTACCATTTTGGGATGTACAATTCAGAGGCATTAAATACATTTACAATGGTGTGTAATCATCACACCATTGAACCATTAAACTGCTTTCCACAGCGGCTACATCATTTTACACTCCCACCAGCAAAGTACAAGTGTTTAAATTTCTCCCCATCCTCACCAACACTTGTTATTTCTTTTTAGAATAACCATCCTAATAGGTTTGAAGTGGTATGTCCTTGTGGTTTGATTTTTATTTCCCTATCACCAGTTATGGTGAATGTGCTTATTGGTCATTTGTACATCTTCTTTGTTGAACTGTCCATTTAAGTCCTTTGCCCATTTTTCAATTGGGTTGGTTCTTTTGTTTTTGTTCTTGAGTATAACTTAATATTTTTTATAATGAATATGCACCATTTTAAATAAAACAAGTCAATACTCTAAAAAAGAAAAGCTAAATTTGTTAACATAAAGTTTCATAATAAATACATTAATGAGGATGCTCAGAATAGTTTTAAGAGAATCACAAATATGTTTCATATTATTTTTCCCTGATGATTCGAGTATTTCCTTTTCTCCTCACTTGATATAATTATGTGAAGGCAGTGGCTTATTGTCTTTTGAAATATAAATGGAAAATCAATCCATACTGGGTTATTCAACCTAGAATTTTGAATTAAACTGCAAGAACTCTGAACTTTTATGTTACGAATTTGAAGAATGAATTTATCTAAGTTTATAATATTTCTTATTATATTATTATGTATTATTAGTTACTATATTTAGCTAACACACCACAAGTCTCCCAATGTTGGATATTTTCAGTTTGCCATTTTAGCAATAAGATATTCTACCCCCAAAGATGTATTTCACTTGTCCATATACTCAAAGGAATTTTCTGCTTTGTATATTTTCTCCTCCCTTTTTCTACTGCATCTGGCCCCGGAAAAATAAGGTCAATAAAATGACACACAATTCCTTTCCTTCTACTCCAGTATTCAAAATCAAAGTTAGACTTCTATGCAGATGTTTCTGCTCTATCATATTCCTTTGTTCAGACAGTAAGAATTTTGAAAAATTTTAAATCTCTGAATATAAAAGTAAAAGCTAAAGTTTCCATTTAAAATATCTGTTTAAATAAGGTCATTCTGGGGCCTCCCTGGCGGTCCAGTGGTTAAGACTTTGCTTTCCAATGCGGGGGGTGCGGATGTGATCTCTGGTCGGGGAGCTAAGATCCCACATGCCTCGCAGCCAAAAAACCAAAACAAAACATAAGCAATATTGTAACAAATTCAATAAAGACTTCAAAAATGGTCCACGTCAGCAACTAAGCCCATGCACCACAACTACTGAGCCCTCGCGCCACAACTACTGAGCCCTCGTGCCACAACTACCAAAGCCCATGCGCCTAAAGCCCGTGCTCTGCAACAAGAGAAGCCACCGCAATGAGAAGCCCGCACACCACAACAAAGAGGAGCCCCTGCTCGCTGCAACTAGAGAAAGCCCGCACCCAGCAACAAAGACCCAATACAGCCAAAAATAAATAAATAAATTTTAAAAAATAAATAAACAAAATAAAAATGGTCCACATCAAAAAAACAATCTTAAAAAAAAATAATAAGGTCATTCTTATTAGAGAAAATATTGCCCCAAATTTCTAGTCCTTGAATTGCCTCTTAGTGCTTCATAGTCCTCAATCCCCAGGGACATGTTTTTATCTCTCACATAGGCTAAGCATACTTTATTACTCTAATTGCAGGTTTGTCCTAGATATACAGATAATGATGCAGAAGGAACTGAGGAAGCGAGGAAGGAAAGGAGGGAGGGAGAGAAGGAGGGAAAGAGAAGCATATATAACATAAAAAGAAAATTTTCCTTACTTGTCTGTCCATTAGGAATTCATGGTGATTGATCCTTGGTGAGTGAATGCATGAAAATGTAGAGTCCATAAGTTACAACAGTCGGAATTACCGCTACAATATCTGATAGACAAGGTCTCTAGTGAGCAGCTAATGACTCATTAGGGTCTCCACTGAAGGAGCCAACACATACTAGCTAATATTGGGTTGGCCAAAAAGTTCGTTTGCGTTTTTCCATAACATCTAACAGAAAAACCCAAACAAACTTTTTGTCCAATCCAATATTATATCTAATAGTAAAACTTGTTCCTGTATTATACTCTAATATCTATAAAACAATTCTGTTTTCTCTATATAAATTGATTAAATGGTGTGAAAATGTTTCTGAAATTTAACCTACAGGCTAAATCTTTACAATCTTCCCCACCCCCAACTTTATAGCTTTGAGTTTCTTTTCTGTATTTCTTGTTCCAGTGCCATACTGGAGACACTGCTTCTAATACTTACATTGTAATCCAGTTTTGCAAAAAACAACCTCGCTAATTCTACCCTCGCTAATCATTCATTCAAAAAATAGATCAAGGTTTACCGACTGGCAAGAAATAGGACCTCATACATGAGTAAAGGCAGTTCATGCTCTCAAAAAACTAATAATCTAGTGGAAGAGATTATAGAATAGCCTCAAAATAATCACAACTCTTTCCCTTAATTCCTTTTAATACAACATAGCCCTAATCACTTTAATTTTGCATGCCAATTGCATATGTAAGTCAGGAAAAAAAGGTCAAACATTTCTAAAGACAAAAAAAATAACATTCTCATATTACATGTGCATAATTTATATAGATATTACTTCAATCTGAGGTGTTTTATAAAGATATTTAACATCTCAACTTTGTTCCATTAAAAACAATTCTTTGGGTTCATTTAAGTCATAGTAAAGATTTCTGGTTGCCCTGGTTACTTTTTTGTTTTGTTTTGTTTTAATTGTGGTAAAATATACATAGCATTAAATTGATCATTTTAACCATTTAAAGTGTACAATTCAGTGGCATTAACTACAGTCATAATGTTGTGCAACCATCACTACTGTCATTTCCAGAACTTATTCATCATTCCTAACAGACACTCTATACCAATTAAACAATAACTCCCCATTTCCCCCTACCCCCAGCTTGTGACAGTTTCTATTCTGTTTTCTGTCTCTATTATTTTGCCTATTTTAGATACTTCATATAAGTGGAAGCATACAACATTTGTCCTTTTTCATCTGGCTTCTTTCACTTAGCATAATGTTTTTAAGAGTCATCTGTATTGCAGCATGTATCAAAATTTCATTCCTTTTTAAGACTGAATAATATTCCATTGTACGTATATACGT